CTTGTCAGAGAGGCACTAGGCAACCAGAACAATGACCACGTACTAACATTCAAAAAGGCAACATGGGAGGTCCTTCCCAAGAACAAGGGAAATGTGAGATGACTGCTAAAAAGTCAAAAGTAATCTAAGGTATATGTAGACAACCAGCCTCCTTAGATAAAATGATTTTTGTTTCTCTAATTTGATTTTTTCAAATAAAACTGGTTTGATCTAGTTTATTATCCCCTGAAACAGGGCAGTTTTTCCCAAGGATTCTTGTCTTCCTGGTGTTGCCCCATACATGTGCCCTGGATAAGTCCCCTCTGCACTGTCTTCAGGTCTTCCTCTTCCTCCCACTGGGAAATCAGATGAGGTATGTGTAGTGGATACCCTGATAATGAAGAAAGGCATATCATGAGGGAAAACAATGAAGAACCAAAACATTTCCAATGAGATACGGTAAAAATTTAAGTTTTCAGATGCCCTGAAAATGAGCAAATGAGTTTAATTGAAGTAAAATGTTTGTCATAGTTATAACAAATGCAGTAATAAAAATAGAAAGCAACATCAAAATTGATCTGATGTTCACAGCTAATTCTCAGTATTATTACAAGCTGGTCTGATTATCACAGCCAGGACATTCTGTTCTCCTGTTAAACATTAACAACCTCCTAGAATACCAACCTTACACAAGGTTTTCCTAAGGCCAGTGTAAATAAAACAAAACAATGACACTTCATAATTTTGATTAAACAGCACAAAAGGCCACTGTATGGTTGTTATGTGCCATCAAGTCAGACCCGACTCATAGTGACCCCTCCTTGGGTTTCCAAGTTGGTATCACTACGGAAGTAGATTGCCCAACTTTCCTTCCGAGGAGGGGCTGGTGGGCTTGAACCGCCAGCCTTCTGGTTAGCAGTCAAGTGCCTTAAGCACTACACTACCAGAGCAAATAAGGCCACTGTACCACCCCTAAAATACCCACTTATACAACTGTCAATTTAATACATAGATATTTATTTTTATGGTGAAACCACAAGGCTGTAAGCTGTCTGAGATCAGTGACCATGTCTGTTTTATTTACCAATGTATTTCAATTCCTTAGCCAAAATCCTGGACTAGGGTTGATTATTGAGATAAAATTGTTTTCTAAAACACTAAATGAAGAAATGTTGCTATTCTTACCTAGTGAGGCCAGGTTCTGGAAGTTCTCCAGCATCACATCTCTGTAGAGACTCCTCTGAGCAAGATCCAACAAAGCCCACTCCTCTTGAGTAAAGTCCACAGCCACATCCTCAAAGACCAAGGAATCCTAAAATAGCCCATATATCATGGTTCAGTAAGGCACCAACTCCCCCAATGTGTTCAGGAGAACGGGTGTGGCTGACAGGACTGGGGAACTAAGAATCAATTCACAAGAAGATGAGAGGGTTCTGTGTCTCCCAATATCTACTCTAGATCTCTTTCCTTTTCCTACCCATACATATGCCCTGACTGACCAAATCTTGTCTCACAGATTTATAACACTTCTATTATGCTATATTTATCTCTCCATAGTCTGACAGTGACCAGTTCCTGTCTTATTCCTCTCTATTTTCATCTAGAACAGTATAGAATATATGGCAAAAATGAGAAATGCTTTAGAAATAATTTCTACAATGACACCATCAATTCCTTGCTACCAAAAAATTCCATCTGTTTCCTTATTGCCCACTGTTACATACTGAATTGTAATTCCCCAAAATATGTGTTGGAATACTAATCACCATACCTGTGAATGTAATAGCATTTAGGAACAGGGGCTTCTTTGTTATGCTAATAAAGTAGCAATCAGTTTAAGGTGTGTATTAAACTTAATGGCTTTTGAGATATAAAAAGAACAGAGAAACCAGCACAAACTGAGGAAACACAAAAGTCACACGGACATCACCACATGCAGGATCACTGGATCCTAGAGAAACTGAGACAAGGATAGTCTTCAGAGCTGACACAGAGAGCTTTCCCTACAGCCAGTGCCCTCAATTCTAACCTCCTTAACTGTGACAAAATAAATACCTGTTCTTTAAAACCACCTACTTGTGGTATTTGAGTTACAACAGCACCAAGTTTAAGACATTCGCCAGAGCCAACAGCACAACATAAGGCACAGAGTCTAATCTAATCTGAGTAAATAAAAACAGTGAATAACTGGGAGCTTTTCCTTCTGCCCTCCTCACCAAACTTGAGAGCTCCAGGAGCCTGGAGAAGCACAACTTTCAACGTTAGGCCAGAGATCTGCAAACTACTGCCCATAGGCTAAATCAATCTTCAGCCAGTTTCTATAAATAAAGTTTTATTTTAACAAAATAAACATATGTTTACATACAGTTTATGACTCCTTTCATATAAAAATGGCTGAATTGAGTTACAAAGAGAAACAGCATACACTTCAAAGCCTAAAAAACTTATTTGGCCCTATACAAACACATGAATCTATGAAAATGGGAAGTTGTCAAAAATGAAATGGAATGCCTAAATATTAATATCCTAGCCATTAGTGACCTGAAATGGACAGGTTTTGGCCATTGGAATCAGATAACCATATGATCTACTATGCCGGGAATGACAAATTCAAGAGGAATGGCGTGGCATGCATCATCACAAAAAATGCTTCAAGATCTATCCTGAAGTACAATGCTGTCAGTGATAGGAGAATATCGATATGCCTACAAGGAAGACCAGCTAACATTACTATTATTCAAATTTACACACCCACCATGAAAGCCAAAGATGAGGAAACTGAAGATTTTTACCAACTTCTGCAGTCTGAAACTGACCAAACATGCAATCAAGATGTGTTGATTATCACTGGTGATTGGAATGTAAAAGTTGGAAACAAAGAAGAATCACTGGTACTTGGAAAATATGGCTTTGGTAACAGAAATAATGCTGGAGAATGCATGACAGAATTTTGCAAGATCAGTGACTTATTCATTGCAAATACATTTCTTCAACAACATAAACAGCAGCAATACATATGGACTTCACCAGATGGAGTACACAGGAATCAGATCAACTATATCTGTGGCAAGAGGTGATGGAGAAGTTCAATATCTTCAGCCAAAACAAGGCCAGGAGCTGACTGTGGAACAGACCATCAACTGGTCATATGCAAGTTCAAGGTGAAGCTGAAGACAATTAAAACAAGTCCATGAGAACCAATATATGACCTTGATTATATCCCTCCTGAATTTAGAGACCATCTAATGATTAAATCTCATGTATGGAATGCCAATGACTGAAAACCAGAGGAACTGTGGGATGACATCAAGAACATCATCCATGAAGAAAGCAAAAGGTCATTAAAAAGACAGGAAAGGAAGAAAAGACCAAAATGGATGTCAGAAGAGACTCTAAAACTTGCCCTTGAACAGACTAGCTAAAGCAAATGAAAAAAATGGCAAGATAAAAAAGCTGAACAGAAGATTTCAAAGAGCACCTCAAGATAACATCAATTATTGTAATGAAATGTACAAACACCTAGTGTTAGAAAACCAAAAGGGAAGAACATGCTCAGCATTTCTCAAGCTAAAAGAACTGAAGGAAAAATTCAAGCCTCAATTCCAATATTGAAAGATTCTACAAGCAAAATATTGAATGATACAAGAAACATCAAAAGAAGATGGAAGGAATACACAGAGTCACTATATGAAAAAGTCAATGTTCATCCATTTTAGGAGGTGGCATTTGATCAAGAACCAAATGTACTGAAGGAAGAAGTTGAAGCTGCACTCAAGGAACTGGCAAAGA